GATACTCAAAGTTGATCCAAATATTACAAACAAACTTGATAAAAAAATTTAAAAAGCAATTAAAATCATACTTCTAGATTATCAAAGATGAAATCAAAGAAGATATTACAAACTATTCTGAAAACAACAAAAAGAAAACCCTTAATAGTATACCATTTTACAACATATACTTACATCAAAACAGTATATAGTACACCTTACATATATACAATTTTTATTTATTAATTATACCTCAGTAAAGCTGGGGCAGGATGGAGTAGAATCACCTGGGGAGTAAATAGTTTGCTGAGGATGGGGCCTAGGAACCTGTGTTTTAATAAGCTTCCCTAGTGATTCGTATGCACACTGAACTTTGAGAACTAGTACCTTCATGGAGTTCATCTTTGTGGTGAACTTTAAGAAACTTGAGGTCCAGTTAATGAATATGAGAGTTTCTTTTTTTTTTTTGAGATGGAGTCATGCTCTGTTACCCAGGCTGGAGTGCAGTGGTGCAATTTCAGCTCACTGCAACCTCTGCCTCCCGGGTTCAAGCAATTTTCCTGCCTCAGCCTCCTGAGTAGCTGGGATTACAGGCATGTGCCACCACACCCAGCTAATTTTTATATTTTTAGTAGAGATGGGGTTTCACCAGATTGGTCAGGCTGGTCTTGAACTCCTGACCTTGTGATCCTCCTGCCTCAGCCTCCCAAAGTGCTGGGATTACAGGTATGAACTACCACACTTGGCTGATTGCTTATTTCTTTATATCTCCAAGCTCTACTGATCAAAAAATACTTTTCCTGAAAAGTTATCCTGCAGAAGTCAGATCATGTTGAGAGGACAAGTCTCTGGAATGTTAATAAAGGTATACGGGGCTAGCATTGTAGAACTGTTCACTTTTTGCATAGGAAATCTCACTGTTTGTGTTTTCCCACTGGACAAAATAAAATGGACTCAGGATTTATATATTAATGTGTGAACAGTGCATAGCTACATGCCAATAAAACAGCACAGTTAATTAATCAATAGCTTTTTATTTTTCTGCTCAGGGAAAATAAAAATGCTTTATAACAACTAGGAAAAACCAACAAATCCAAAAGCTCATTCTTTGAAAAGAGCACCACCAGCAACAAAATAGACAAATCACTGGCAAGCTTATTCAAGGAAAAAAAAGATACATAGCAAAGATAGAAGAATTTAGGAATGAGAAAGGGCACATAACTACAGATAATGTGGAGTAAAAGAATCACCAGTCAGTGCTACATACAACACTGTGACAACAAAATTGAAAAAAAAAAAGTTACTTCCCAGAAAGGTATATAATTATTAGAGCTGACCCTAAAATAAGTTGAAAGTTGAACTGAATGATTATCATAGAAGAGCCTGGCACATGTCACTAGGAGCAAATGGATTCATAAGTGAGTCTTGCCTGACTGTTAGACAATGCATAATTCAAGTGTTACTTCAGCTATTCTAAGTGATAGAAAAAGATGGAGCACTCATCAATTCATTTGATAAAGCCAACAAAACTTTGTTTACTATTATTATAGTAGGTTGAGTAGTGAAAACCTAGTAATAATAGTAAAAAAAAAAAGCTATTGATCCATCTCACATTTAAAGGCACACAGTATCTAAAGAAAATAGCAGCACACAGAACCCACTAATAATCAAATTGTATGAATAGTAGATTTTACTCCAAGAATGGAAGGGTATTTAGTGTTAGGACATCTATTAACATAATTTGTTTATCAACATAGCAAAGAAGACAATTCAGATGATACCGGCTGTTGAAAAGTCATTTATGATAAACATTTGGTGGCAAATGAGAATAGAAGTAACAAACACCATTTACCAAAACCAAACAGCAAATGTTACTCTAAATAGCAAAATACAAAAACTATTTCAAGTAAAATCATAGGGTAGAAGAAATATTCACTTTCATTGTTATTTAACTTTTTTTTGTTTTCTAATAAATTCAAGCATAAAATGAAATAATGGGCTATAAACTTTGGAAAAGAGCTAAAATCTGTCTCATTTGACTGATGATATGATTCAATACTCAGAGACTCTAGGGTAAAATTACTTGAATTAATAGGCAAATTTGGTAAGGTAGCTAGATTTAAGATGAATCACTGGCTGGGGTGCGGGCTCACACCTGTAATCCTAGCTCTTTGGCAGGCTGAGGTGGGCGGATTGCTTGAGCTCAGGAGTTCAAAACTAGCCTGGCTAACATGGTGAAACTCCATCTCTAAAAAACATACAAAAATTATCCGAGCATGGTGGCTCGCTCCTGTAGTCCCAGCTACTCGGGAGGCTGAGACAAGAGAATTGCTTGTACCCAGGAGGACAAAGCTGCAGTGAGGTGAGATCACCCCACTGTACTTCAGTCTGGGTGACAAAATGAGACCCTGTCACAAAAGAAAAAGCTGAATATAAACAAACCAATAGCTTATCTCTATTCTGGTACTAAGCACTTATAAATGAAAATAGGAGAAACTATTTTATTAACAATAGCATCATACTTACAAAATACATAGAGATAAATGTAATAAGAAAATTATTTAAATTTATTATACTAATAAAATTAAGATATGAGTTTAATGAAATTTCAGTTAGAATCACAACAGGGCTTCGATCTTTTTAATTTGAAAAATATCTTAACATTTTTATGTGGAAGAATAAAGTGTCTAAGAACGTATAAAAAGAATAGTGAGGACTGCTTTCACCCACCAGATATCAGAAGATATCATAGGCTCACAGTAATCAAACCAATATAGTATTGGCATAACAAGATAATAGTATATTAAGGAAACAGTCTAAGGAATCCAGAAATATATGCTAATAAATATGATAATTTTATATGATGAATGTGTTGATTCAAATCAGTGGCAAAAGGTGCCATCACAATAGGCTATTGATCTGGATGGAACTAAAACTATGCAAATCCCTCTCATGCCATATGCAAAAAGTAATTAGCAGATGAACTGAAGCAATGTATATAAAAAGTGAAACAGTAAACATCTTGCAAGAAAATCTGGAAGACTACATGTACAATCTTGAGGTGTGGAAAACATTTTCAACCAAACTTGTCAACTCTGAAGATATGAAAGAAAAGATATCTGTGAATATAAAAATTAAGAACTGTTTTGGTAAAAGTTATAACAAAGAACAGACAAACAACAGATCTGCATGACAAAGGGTTAATACTTGTAATAATAAAAGAGTTCTCATATTTTTTTTTAATGAAAGAGCCCAAGGAAGAATGGGCAAGGCATATGACTAGTTAAATCCCCCAAATAAATCCAATAGCAAATAAGCATTTATAAAGATGCTCAGCTTATTAGAAATAATAAGAACACAACGAAAGTAATAATGAATAATGCAATATCACTGTACACCTGTAAAACTGGCAAATTTTAAAAACAGGATAAAACTTATCACTAATGTGAATGCAGAGAGAAGGGCGTTTTCATACTTCAGTGGTGGAAATGTGAAAATTTCTGGTCTTGTTGGAAATTAAAACTTAGAAGGAAACATTCCCTTCGTTCTGGTAATATTCCTCTTGCAAATTTGTTCGACAGTTATAAAAGCACCAGTATGTAATGATATAGAATATAGAAGCCACAAAACTGGAATAAAGTGAATGTATTGACTAAATTATGGCACAGCCATACCATAGAATCTTATATAGCTTATAAAAATACTGCATTAAAGCTATGCCAATTGACTTAGAGTTCTAGTAGGTGTTAATTAGTGAGAAATGTGTGTATAATGTCCCAATGTTATAAAACAAATAATGTCCAAGAAAACCTGTGTGTGTGTGTGTGTGTGTGTGTGTGTGTGTGTGTGTGAATATATATTATCGTACTGGGGTTACCTAGTTGAGGTGGGGGAGAAAGGGACTGATGGAAGGTGAGGAGCCAAACAGAAAACCAAAAAGACTCTAAAGTATGTGCAACATTACCACATTTAATGTTTACATAGCCATTATATATGTATTATATTTAAGTCTTTATAGTACACATTTGAAGAAGACAAAACAAAATGTAAAATAAACGATTTCAGCATTCAACTCAATAAGCAAAAATTGAACAACAAAATGAACCAAAGGAAACTAGAAGGAATGAATTAATGAAAGTAGAAGCAGAAACTGATGTGACAGAAAAAAAGAGGTTGATGAATTAAACCAAAAGATAATTCTTGACAAGACCAATAAAATCAAGAAAACTCCCAGAAATATTATCTTTAAAAAAGAGAGAAAGAAAACATAGACAACATAAGGAATGAAAAAGTAACTATAACTACAAAAGACACAGAACAGTTTAATAAAATCACAAGAGACTCATGTAACTTGATACCAATACATTTCAAATCTAGGGATAGCAAATAGCTTTCTATGAAAATATAGACTAAAATATAGACCAAAAATATACCAATATTTACTGTAGAAGAGGTAGAAAAATCTGAATCAACTGATGATCATAGACAATATTGAAAAAGTTATTTAGTACTCTCCCTAAATGCACCAGAACCCCAAAACATTAAAAGTTTCTGAACTCATGGCTGTTTTTATACTTGCACCCAAAGTAGGAAAAGATACAAAAGAACACACATCACATGTACACACAAGAGAACTATACATGAAACTTGTGTTTGATATTGATTGGATTTCATTGCCTTGAATCTCTCTATGGAAGCTTGGGCAGGTGGAGGGAAGTTTTGTCTTTGTTCCTTCACTCTCCCTCTACTCATCTCTAGAATCTGGAGGAGCAGCAGGTGACAAAGAGAAGCAATGGACAAAATAGAACAAAATATCAACGAATAGGTCAGACCTATGAAAAGAATTGGCAATTAGCATTTGTGCTAATAATACAGATGTGTGCACATCTTACCCATAAATGTTTCTTTGGGGCCCAGGTAGCATCACAACCATCCTAACCCAATGTCTGCACCTTTCTTCAAGCAGACTTATATCCCCACAATTCTGGCCCCTGATCAGACCCTACAAAACATGCCTTTACCTTGTGTCCACAGGCAGCTCACTGAGATCACTTTGCATGTAATTCCATGGCAGTTCCACTGCACCCAGGTAGTATCTTCTGGTGGCACTAAAGCAGAATGGCAAAAGGCACAGAAAGAAGCAGGTGGAGAGCTCCATTTGCATGACTTATTGCTACAAATGTTCAACTGGAGAAGCAAAAGGTTAATTCTTCTTAAAAATATCTTTAGGTCCCAGGAGGGGAAAAAGTAAAATTTCTGATTTAGTAAAAAGTCCCAATTTCTTTGCAGAGAATTTTAGGGAACTTTACCCACTGGACGTGCTTAGCACTAAGTAGTAACCGATAGAATTGCTTCCTTTTTGTCAGTGGGAAGCAGCCACAGGAAGAACTGAAGTAGGAAAAGGGAGGCTGAGCTAAACTTAACCCATTCACTTCTGAGAGCAGTAGGGGCATGAGAAGTGTGTTTTAATCAGAACCTTTAAGGAAAGGAAGAGAGGGGTGGAGAAATCAAAGTGAACAGGAGTTTTAAAACTACAATTTATAGTTATAATTTAAAACTATAAAGCGAGTCCTGTCACTCCTCTTCTCAGAATCGTCCAATGGCTTCCGACCTCCGTCAGAGTAAAATCTTACGTCTTTAACCTGGCCTAGGCCCTAAAGTATCCCACGTGGTTTGCGAGACAGGCGTGTTCCAGGTGCTTTTAAATACAGCTGCTATTCTTACTTTAATTTTATGGATGTTGAAACTTAAGCACGGAGAGGTTAGGCAACTTCCGCATGGCCACACAGCTTGTTACTGGTAGCATTCGAATCCATTTACTCTGGCTCCAGAAGTCATGCTCCTAACCACTATGCTATACTTCTGTAACTGGGTCGTGGGATGGGATGGGGCTCACCTCCCCCCCTCCATTTGATGTGCCGGAGCTTCTTGGGCTTCCTCCCCCAGGAATGGGGAAGAGGCCATGGCGGCACGGTGAGCTTACCGGTTAAGTAAGCATTGGACCCAAAGAGTTTTGCAGAGAGCGATTTAATAGGCAGAAGGAGAAAGAGAGAAGCAGAGCGAGCTCCCATACTATCGTGGGAGGGCATCCCAGAGAGGGATATCCGCGCAAGTAAGGTGCAGTGGAGTTTTAACTTTGAAGTTGTTCCCGCCCCATTTACGTTCTCGTCCAGTGAGAGGAGTTCTTTTAAACTTCCTCTGGAGTGATTGATCTTTGACTCCGATACTGGATTGGCTGCTTGGCCCGCAATATAGCCCCTCCGTCCAGGGCTTTTGGCGGGCTTTCTGAACAAAGGAAGCTCACCTGGAATTTTACCTAGCCCGCGTGCAGGAAAGTTACACAAAGAACTCTAGGTTCCTGGATGGGGAAGTGGATGGAGGCTTGGCGTGGGAAGTTCTTGCCTTTGAAACCACGCCCCTTGTGGACCTGGGAAGAGAAGTTAACATACTCCCTCACTTCTATGCCTCAGAAATGAAGAAATCCCAGTTCCGGACACCCTGGGAATCACAGTCCAATGGAGGAGACAGACAGGTAGACAGTTACAGTACAGGGTGATAAATTCTCTGCCAGGTGCTACACATATGCCGTCGGATTTAATCCTCATAACAACAGTGCAAAGTGGATACAGATAAAGCAACTGAAGTACAAAGAGGTTAAATGGCTTGACTACAGCCACACAATTATCCATGTGTCCTAGACAGATATTTTCCTAGGCACTGGGTATACACTGATGAAAAACATAAGCAACTGAAAGAGGGATAAGTAAAAATTATGCAGTGTGTTAGGAGGTAAAACAAGTGCTGTGCAAAAAAAAAGAAGTGGGGTAAGGGGTAGTAGGGGTGGACCAGGTTGCAATTTTGAAAGAGGTCATGGAAAGTCTCACTAAGGTTGCATTTCAACAGAAGGACTTTGACTTCTACACTGAGAGCAATGGGGGGACACAGTCGGGTTCTAAGTAGAGGAGGGTGGTGATCGGAATTATGTTTTAGGCTGATCGTTCTGATCACGGCAGACAGAGGAAACTCTAGCGGGAAAAGGGTAGAAGGAGGGTGACCTGTTAACTGGGGGTGAGAACTGGTGGCAGCTTGAGCTATGATGGTACCCCTGGAGAAGGTGAAAAGTGGCTGGATTCATTGTGAAGGTAATATTTGTGGGAGCTGCTGATGAATTTTGGATCTGTGCACTTTGAGAGGAAAAAATTTGGTACACCAAGGTTTTTTGAATAGTAAAGTTGACTAACTGGGATGGGGATGACTCCAAGAGTAGCTTAGGAGCGGGGCGATATACCTGTCACTCTTCACAGTGCCTTGGCACACTGTTAAAGTGCTCCTTTCTTATTTGTAACTATTACAATGCTTTTAAAATGTGTATTCCAGACAAGTACAGTACAATCCAACATGTTTAAAGTTCTACAGTAAACAGATTATAATTAATAATCTGGGTGGGAATGTTGATCAGGAATGAAACACAATTTAAAAATTAACAAACCAGGCCATGCGCGATGGCTCAAGCCTGTAATCCCAGCACTTTGGGAGGCCGAGGCGGGTGGATTACGAGGTCAAGAGATCGAGACCATCCTGGTCAACATGGTGAAACCCCGTCTCTACTAAAAATACAAATATTAGCTGGGCATGGTTGTGTGTGCCTGTAATCCCAGCTACTCCGTAGGCTGAGGCAAGAGAATTGCCTGAACACAGGAGGCGGAGGTTGCAGTGAGCCGAGATCGCGCCATTGCACTCCAGCCTGGGTAACAAGAGCGAAACTCCGTCTAAAAAAAAAAAAAAAAAAAAAAAAAAATGGAAAGGAAAGGACTCGCTGCTTTAACTAACATAATAGAAATTGTTGCTGGATTTTCTGTTGATATATTTTCAATTCAATTTTATTAAATATAACTCACATGTAGTAAAATGCAAAAGAAAAATTAAATACATAGGCTGGGTGTGTTGGTTCATGTCTGTAATTCCAGCACTTTGGGAGGCCAAGGCGAGTGGATCTTCTGAAGTCAGGAATTCGAGACCAGCCTGGCCAATATGGCGAAACCCTGTCTCTACTAAAAATACAAAAGTTAGCCGGGTTTGGTGGCGGGCGTTTGTAATGCCAGCTACTTGGGAGGCTGAGGCAGGAAAATCGCTCAAACCTGGGAAGCACAGGTTGCGGTGAGCCAAGATCGCGCCACTTGCACTCCAGCCTGGGCGACAGAGCAAGACTCCGTCTCAAAAAAAAAAAAGAAGAAAATAAACATTAAATACATAAATAAAATGTGTCTTCTTCCACTAAAAGAGTCGGGCATATCGCAGGAGCCGATAAATATTTGCTCGATATTTACATGAACAAACATGGTCTCTCAGCTGTCTTTATTTTCAGTGAGTCATAGGTAGTATTCGTAACCAGGCAAGGGATGAGGATTGAGTCAGAGTCGTGTCAGGAACTCGCCTCCAGGTACTTAGCGAGCGAGCCCTCAAGGCCGGGGATAGTAGCCATGAGGGACTGGGGGGAGTGGGGGAGGGAGCCTCAGCCCCCGGGAGGCTCTCTGCGCACGCGGGTCTCGGCGCATCCGTTGGGCGTGGCTGCAGGGCTTCTGACACAGTCAGCTGAGCTCTGTGACGCAGCCGCTAGCTGAGACGGGAAGCGGCAGCCGCGCCCCCGGCCCGCCCTCTTCCGCCGCCGCCGTGGGAATGGAAACATCTGCCCCACGTGCCGGAAGCCGAGTGGTGGCGAAGACTGCGCGCCACTCCGCGGCCTACCGCGCAGATCCTCTGCGTGTGTCCTCGCGAGACGAGCTCCTCGAAATGGCTGCACCCAGTCAAGGTAAGGGCGGGTGCGCGCGCGGCCAGCGCCGCGAGGAGCCGCGTTCCCGGGCTCCGGAAGGGGAAGGGCTCCGCTCCCGCCGGTGCCCACTGACCTCCCCCGGGAGCCGGAGCGGCACGGGGACGGGGAGGGCCCTCGGGGCTCGCCCCCGGCCTAGCAGCTCCAAGGGTCCGGCCAAGGTCACATGCATGTCTGCGGCCTAACCACCCAGAAGTGTGGTCTCCATTGGACCTCACAGCCTTCCGGCGCCGCCCCCGGCAGCTAACGCCCAGAGACGTTCTGTTTCTGTTCTCAGAAGCGGTCTGGCTTCTTTGTTCCTTTGGACGTTCATCTCAAATGCCTCGTGGCGTCATTCTGTGTACAAGGCGCCTCCCCAACTGCATTATTGATGGTTTTGAAAAACTAGCATATATGGGATGGTACTTAGGCATACCCTTTTGTTTAGTCGGCATAGTCGAAGGAAGATTTTGTGTAATTCGCAGTAGAGCACGTCTTTAAGTTATGCTTCTTACCCTGTTTTGAATGCTTACTGACTCACAGGATCCCATTGCTAAACAGAGTCATCACCGAAAACTCAATTATATACACTTAAAATTATAAATTATGTTAAAAACAAAAGCAGTGAAGATACTAAATACTTATCATTTTTATTATTTACCATATTTTATTGTTACTTTGCTTTTGAGGTTATTTATACATTTGTTGCATCTGTGTGGAGTAGATACTATACTATGGTGCTCTACTGTGCATCACTTCCCAACTCTGAGTTCAGTGGTGTCACAATTCAGTTATGTCACGCTCACGTCACAATGAATGAATACACCATGGAAATTTGCTGCACTACAAATCACCCCTGCCTAAAGCCGACTGTTAAGGATTTTACCAGCACATCACTAAATTTTAGATGACCCTAGGAAGGTAGAATGTACAATGTGATAATTATGTATTTTTCTGTAGAGCAGACTGTGCTTAGTGACTTTAAACGTATAGGTTGATCAGGTATTTGCACCTAGGAGATTGTTGTGAGAAATTTTGAGGTTCAGATGAGTTTCAATTATCACAGTGATGATCACATAATACTGTGATCATTGATTTCCTGGGCTCATAAACGTGGCTAGTGACTGACTTTTGTCTATCATAGTGATTAGCAGTGTTTGAACAATGACTGACCAAATATCTTGCATTTAATCCACCTCCCCCCTCCCCTTTTTAGGGACTAGATCTGTCATTCAGGCTAGAGTGCACAATCATAGCTCACTGCAGCCCCAAACTCCTGGGCTCAAGCTGAGCTCAAGTGATCCTCCCAACTCAGTCTCTAATTCCCTCCCCTTTTTGACGGGATCCACTTGTTGATCTAAGGGGCTTGGTTAAATTACATTAGAACAAAACTGAAAATTAAAAAAAAAAAAACCTGAAAACTCATTCTTCTTTTCAGTAATCTTCTTTAACCTAGGAAGAGAGTTTCTTCAACATAACTGTCTTGTTTTGTTACATTAGAAAAATAAACTACCTGTAAGGCCATAGAGTACTCGGGTACTCAAACATCCCATATTTTGTTCTGCTAAATGGGCATCTGTGATGTATCTTGAATGAATTCTTGAATCTATTTTGGGTATGGTTTAAGGTAGAGGTTGAGAGTAGTTTTTTTTTTTTAACACAAATATCTAGTACTTCTAACATCATTTGTTGTTTCCTTCATTGAATTAGCTTGGTGCTATGTTATTACAAATCAAATGACTATATGGGTGTATCTATTTCTGGACTCTGGATTCTCTTCCATTGCTATATTTGGGTATCCTTGGGTCAGTTCAACACTGTTGAATGCCATAGCTTTATAAGTCTTGAAATTAAGGTAGTTGTATATTATACTGTAGCTTTATAATAAGTCTTGAAATTCCTTGAACCCTCTTCTCCCCTGCCGCCTCCTCCCTCCCCCGCCCAGGAATATTCTGGCCATTTGTGGCAGTTTGTATTTTCCTGATTGCAGCAATATTTCCGATTCTTCATGGTCTTTTTCCTAGTGACTTTGACACTCCTCCCACCCAGGGGTGGGATCTATATTCCCTCTTCATGAATCTGGGTGGGAGCTTGTGACTGACTGCCTGTTCCTATAGAAGGTAGCAGAA